ACTTTGTTTCTCTACCTTTTCAACAGTTGCATTTCATCTAAATGGTGTTCACAGAGAGCAGATTGTCTGAAATTGACTTAATGGAAGTATCACAAATGGGGATTCTTATTGGCAGCACTCTATAAATAACTGTTTTGACATCAGATGCACTATTGGAACAGTGGCAAAAACATATTTCTAAATTTATGTGGAAAGAAAAAATGACTTGTACATAAAGTATTATAAGATACAAAAGAAAGAGGAGGAGTCAGATTATCAGAATTAAGAATACATTTAAATAGTTGTTCTTTGGTTGGATGAAAGAATAGATGCTGCTAAGAATAAGAGTTTTTTGTAGTTAGCTCACAACCCGAGATTTGAATGGCATGGATATTTATGGTATGATAAAGTTAATATTAATATGGGCTTTAAAAATCATTTTATTAGACAATTCTGAGAATATGGAATAGATAGGAACCCAGGCTGTGCCTGAAAACACTTGGATAGCTCTTAACTTAAGAAGCATATCATAGTAGAAAACTAGAAGACTGATAAAAGATTGATATAGCAGGAGTTACTGGAAAACTATCAAGGAGAATTTAAAATCAAATCAAAATAAACCAGCCAATTGCAGAAGGATATTGTTGTCAATGATTATTTCATTTAGGCTTATATGAAAGATTTAAAATAGATAAAAAGACTAAGAGTGTGGAGCAAAGCAAGACAGAATTTAAAATGTAATTGTGTACTGATGATAACATGTAATTGCTAAAGTGTATAAATTTGAAACAGAGGAAAAGCAGGTTAAAGAATAAAGTGGATTTAGAATTTTGGCTATAATATACAGTACAGGCGGATCAATGGGAAAATATGTGATTAAAGATGCTGAGATTTACATTGGGGTATGATCTCAATGAGAATATTTATGAAATTATGTATTGTTGGTACATAACACCAGATAAACAATTAAGAATGTATAAAGGCACTTCAGATCTATCTTGGAAATGTTAACAGGATTTTACACATCAATATTTATTTGAAACTGGCACTTTTCCTTTTAGACTAATGGATATGCAGTTAGAAAAAAGCTATGACAGAATATTTCAATATATGGTTACTGCAACAAGATTACTATATGCACAAAGATGAAAAAATTCAATACTGTAGGATCCAATCTGGCTCAGTCACTGGGATCAGACGTCTTGTCCTCTGGGTTTTTGGACTCGTACTGGAGCCCATCATCATCAGGGAACTTCTCTCTAGCAGAGTGTGTGCTTGGGGCTGTTCTGTGTGGGATATTTATATGGGGCCTGTTGTATGTGGCTTTTTAGATGTTGATTGTGGTGTGGATGCTATTAAGTCATTGGCTGTGTTGATGCTATTAAGTCATTGGCTTTAAATCGTTGGCTGTTGTTTGCTTGTGCTGCCAAACCCTCGCTTCCTAAGTACTTGATAAACTGGTGGTAAATCAGCACTCCTGTTGACTGTTGAGGGGCCTGTTTCCCAGGCTTCAATCACTTCCCTGGCTGTTTTTGTGCCTGCTTGTCCAACAATCTTAGTAAGTGCAAAATTGAATGTATGTCCTTGTTCATTGCAATGTGAGGCTACCAATGAGTTCAGGTCTCCTCATCTGACAGCTTGCTTGTGTTCTTCCAGTCTGGTTGTTAGTTTCCTCTCTGTCTGTCCTACATAGTCACAGGGGCAATCTATGCAGGGATTCCTCTAGATTACATTGGAAGTATCTTCCACCTCCAAATGATCTATACAATGCATAATTTTTCCTTGTATAGTAGCCCCTCGGCCAGTGGTGGCAAACCTATGGCACAAGTGCCAGAGGCAGCACTCGGAGCCCTCTCTGTGGGCATGCATGCCATCACCCCAGCCCTGCCTCCCCCCGCAGCCCCCTCTTCACCACCAGCCCCCCCCCAGAGGAGAGTCATCCATGAGTGTGGCCCGCGCAGAGCAGGACAGCCAAGCACATGGCAGCTGGGCAGCAGATGATGCTGTGGGGCGGAGGGCATGGCCACCATGATGCTGCAGGGCCACCTGGGTGATCAGCGGGCTGTGGATGGCCTTGAGGGCAGGTGGGGTGAGGGCAGAGCAGGGCGGGAGCAGGCGGAGCGGTGCAGGGGCGGGGCAGTTCTGGGGCACTCGGTCTCTAAAAGGTTCGCCATCACTGCCCTAGACAGTGTATGATGTCCACCTGCAGACCTCAGAAGATGCGCTCTATAGCTTCTGAAATGTTTTTGATGTACGGCAAGGTGTGCCATGTGGTTGGTCTTGTACCTTGTTTCTTCCTTTCTCTCCCCACCGTGTAGCAAAGATATTATTGTGTAGATTCTAGTAGATTCAATACTACCCACTATTGGAAAAAAGGGTTGGTGAAATTGACAAATTTTGCTGAAATTGCTAACTTATTTGATTAAAGAAAAGATGTTATCTACATTTATTGATGACTGGAAGCTTAAGGATGCTTTGCATAAAAATTAAAAAAAAATTGAATATGATTTATGATTTTGATGATTAGACAGGATAGATTACATAACGAAGCATAATATGATGTAACGAGAGAGAGAGATTAAAATATATTTGTACTTATAACTTTTGTGAAGAATATTGGAAGTCACGTCTTTTTTTTTCTTCTATATTTTTCTTCAACTTTTTTTCTTTTCTTGTTTTTTTCTTTTTTCTCCTGCACTCTATATTAGTTTTTTAATTTCTTGTTTAAAAGTTTCAATTAAAAGAATTATATATTAAAACAAAACAAAACAAAACATTGATTGCCTTTATGTGTTTGAACAATAATTCCAATTAGTGAAATGAGTAGTTTTTACCTCCACTCAATATACCATACATAATTGTTAGGGTGATTTGGACAGCTAGAATAGTTCTGCAATTTATTCCCTCAACATGTGTTATTTTAATTTAATCAGCTGGAACAAAGTATAGTGCTGCTAAAGGGCCCAGAAATAACATAAGTATAATAAATTATACAGAGTAATAATGAGAGGTATTAATTGCTATGCTCTTGTTCTCTTGTTTTATCCGCTAATTATATTCATATATCATTCCTTGTATATAAATTTGACTTCAATTATTTTTGCTGTCAAAGAAGCAAGAAGGCAGTGGACCCTAAAGGCATATGGTGCTTTATGTGTGCATCTTTTTTTAATTTAAGTTTATTTTTAAACAGCTAATGAAGAGTTTACATTTTTTCAAAAGGAAGGAGAAAAAAAAGAATATGGTGTTAAGCAACTTTATTACACAAGGTGAAAGAAACTGTTGGGTAAAGCAAGGCAGGGCCTCAGAAAAGAATGCAAAAGAATAAAAAAACAAAACAAGCAAAATAATGGGATAACCGCTCGGGGAATGGTAAGAAAAAGAGAAACTTGAGGAATGCATTTATAGGATAATATACAAAAATATAGTTAAGTCAACAGGAAACAAATAAATGAAGTAATTCAGAGACAGAAAGAGAGGAAAGAAGGACGTTTTCAAAAAAAAGAGAAGGATGCATTTTGTATGGTGAAATATGATGGAAAGAATAACAGGCTATATTTATTTTATTAAATATTAGTTTTATATTTTATTGCATGCAAAGACAAAACCTTTGCCTTTGCATGATGGAGTATGATGGGAAAAAAATAACAGGTTTTATTGTGCTGGGACCAAGAGAGACCTTAGTCCAGCTAAATGCCTGTCCTTGTGGGGAATAATAATATTGAAATTTGATTTTAGGTTACTGACTGACCACAATTGGGACTGGTAGCTCAGTCCTTAAGCAAAATGGTCACTAAGTGAAACCCATAACAATGTTATATTTTCCAATGCTTTACAGATCTGCAAAGATCGTAAATGCAAGGATTAGTCACAAAATTACTTTTTCATCATCGTCACAACTGCGAACGGTCACTAAGAATCAAACACCTTAAAAACATTGTGATGATCCCAACTTATAACCATAATGGGCAGGCTCCATTACAGTAATAAATTGAGAATTACCTATACTTAGTGTCTCTTATTGACGAGAATGGTTATTCCAGTTTGCTAAAATGCTCCAAAAGGAGATATCTGCAGATGGGCACAACTATTACAATCTTCTGAGTCAAGGGAATGTTTCCCAAGATCTTTTTTAAAATGGTCAGACTTGCCTATCCTGCATAGAAGCATTTCGTCAACTCCAGAACAAATCTGCTCTTTCCAGATAAATTTAATTAACCATGAGAGATTAAGGATTGAATATACCAGCAGTAACCAGATTTTCAGGGCACAACAATTGAGACTGATTTTACAAAGCCAGAATGAACTATGCAGTATAGTCCTTCACTGGTATACTCTAAGCCTGGGTGTCCAACTACTGGCTGGGGAATTCTGAGAGTTGAAGTCCACAGGTCTTAAAGTTGCCAAGACTGAACAGCCTTGCAATATAACATTAATAAAACATTAATATAGGAGCAGATTTGGCTGTTTGTCTTCTCTAAACATTTTACAAATCAGGTCCATTCAATTGATCAAACCCATACATTCGAGTTATAACAATGCTTTTCCAGACATAGACCCAGGTTGTTCACTGTTCTCATGGAATATAGCACAGAGTTTGGGGTTTTATTTTTTTCCCTGATTTCCCCTTCCACCACCACAAACAACAATGGGCAACTGAAAAGTGTATTAAGTGCAATTAAATTCAAATTTAAGACTTTCTGAGAAATGTGAATGTACAGGAATGTTTCTGATAACATACTATTTGCTTAACGTCAAATGTCCTGTATTGAAATTAGTACAGACTGGACAAAACATTTAGATTAATATTTCAGATATTATATTGATTGTGTTATGCTAAACAACTTGTGAATATATGAAGTTTTTATGTATCAGTTGATTTAACAAGTAAAGTCTGCAGCGTTATTTCTTAGTAGCAGATTCCCCATAATAAAAAGAGGGTTCTTTATAAGTTTATATAGTACTTATAATTTTAAAATAATAAAGATATTTTTGTTTCTTTGTTCCTACTTACCTAACAGATGGTGAAAATATTCCTATGTCGTCACATTATTGGCTATGGAAGAAAAAAAGGAATTCTATCTTCCCTGCAGTGGAAAGCAAAAGTGAAAGCAAAACAGGTATAATTAATCCATTTTCAGTATCTCTAATAATTGTAAGAAAATTGAGCAATTTCAAGATAGCAGAATCTGTCTGCTGGTTTGCCCCACAATCCTTAACTTGTCTATTTCAAAAACAAATTTTACCTCTAGGTAGTAATGCTTAGGAATAAGGTTATGCACTTTCAAAAAAAAATTGGAAGAACTAGTTTTGATCACAGAGGAGCATATAGTAATAGACCATGTCTTTTGTTAGGTTTCTGCATGAGTCTGATATAAGATGCTCCATTAATGATTTGTATTCAAGATATAGTTGCATTAATGATCTGACTTATTAAAGAACTAGAAAGATGGGGTAAACCTTCATTAAGGCTGACACACTCATATGTGAAAAGACAACACAGAAGAAGGCATGGAGCACATAAAAGATGTACTTCCTTTTGGGGTACAAGACCCAGAGGAAAAACAAAGCCATGTTCATGTTGCATAGCTGACAATGTCATGCCCTCCTTGAGCCAAATGACCAGCTTCCATGAACCAGCACTACACAGGCTGAGATGTGTTAAAATGAATTTTCAAATCCACCCAAATTTTCTCTGTGTTCCCCTTCCCTCTCTCTCCCCTCTTCTGTTCCTCTTCTCTTCTCATTCTTCCTGGCATTCCTCTTTGCCATCCCAATGATGAAATAAGAATATGTGCCACCACAGTCAGGGTTATGATACAAAGCCATTGACTGATGATGTGTCATTAAGTCATTTTCAACTCTTACAGTCACATGGATAGATTTTTCTCCATGAGGTTAACACCATATACCAGTGGTGGCGAACCTATGGCACGGGTGCCAGCAGCGGCACTCAGAGCCCTCTCTGTGGGCACGTGCGCCATCGCCCCAGTCCTAGGCCTTCAGCTGGGTTTTATAAAACCTTTTCACTTCAGGCCTCTGCCGCCATGTGCAAAAAAAAAAAGTTCAATCAATCAGTCAATTTCAACTTCTCACGGGGAAAAAAAAGATCTTGCAAAGTTGGAATTGATTGATTGAACTTTTTAGTCCCATCCAGTCTGCCGTTACCACTACAGCCACGCCCACCCAATGGGCCACACCTACCCAATGAGCCACACCCAGCCAATGGGCTACACCCAGCCAATGGCCACACCCACCCGGCACCCGACGATGCGTAAGTGGGTTTTGGGTTGCAGTTTGGGCACTCAGTCTCTAAAAGGTATGCCATCACTGCCATATACACTTATTTTTGAAGGGGAAAAAAAAAAAAGAATGGCCCTATTTTGACTTCCCACCAACATGTACAATAGCTTCAGGAGGACAAAAACTGACATAGTTCTGCAGAACTTTTCAAGGATTTTATCTCTGTCCCAAAAGACAAAGGAGTCATTAAACAACTCAATAACATAGTTAACTGGAAGAAACTAATCTACCTTCAAACAAACTCTGGCTATGTAGGGCTAAAATAGACCAGAGCATTAATTGACCCAGTTTTCTTTTTTTCAAGGATACTACAGACATCCCCAACCCTTTTCAGAATGCAAATATGGCTAATAGGTAAAGAGAAAGAAGAATTTCTAATAAATGTAGTCCTCAATTTACTTCCCCAATTGAGTCCAACATTTATGTTGCTAAGTGAGACATTTGTTAAATGAGTTTTACCTCATTTTATTACCTTTCTTGCCACAGTAATTAAGTGAATCGTTGCAGCTGTTAAGTTAGTAACATGATTGTTAAGTGAATCTGGCTTTCCCATGGATTTTGCTGGGCAGAAAGTTGCAAAACGGGACACTGCAACCATCCTAAATATGAACCAGTTGCCAAGCATCTAAATTTTGATCATCAAAACCAGGAAATTATGATCAGAATAACCTGATGACATTAGTGTAATCATAATTTAAATTTAATTCATGATTCATAAATTGGAGGCTAGACATTATGTGACAAATGTACTTTGTTTTCAAATTTCAGACATACAGCCAAGAGATGCTATAAATCTCTTACATTCACATAGTCACAATGAAAGTCATTACAGTATTACATATTAGGTGAATGCAAAGTTATAATGTTGCTTCTATGAGTATTAAGAGTAATTATATGTTCTAATGGTTGAAATCATGGCTGTAATTTTCCTTGTTGTCTGAGGTTTCCTCAAATGAATCTCACAAGACACTGAGAGCTTCATAAAAAAAATGAATATTGTAAGGATGTTTAACTGTTTGCCTGAGTCTGCCCAGAGGCATATATATAATCTTATGAATAATCCCATTTGGCCAAAACCCCTTCTCTAGGAATTTAGCTGAAAAACTCTGGAACTCTGGAACTTTCCAACCAACTTTTTGTTTTGTCTGGTATCAGTGAACTACAGGAAAGTATCTTCTCATCACATTTCTCTCTTCCTGTCAGTTTATGCCTCTCATTCTTGCAGCCATTTTGATGACTGGGTTCAAGATTTGTTTACACATTTCCTTATTAATGTGTATTCTATGAAAAATACCTCAGCATAAACTACATTGCTCCTGTGGGTGAGCTTGAACACCCTTCAGCAATAAGCAATGAGTGGTGAGCCACTGGCATTTATTCCTCAGTCCATAGTTACCCTAATCCTAGATATATTTATTCAAACCTCTCATCTTCATTACAATCAAACTGAGTAAGGTATTCATTTCAGAATTAACATTTAGTTTATTCACCTACTAAAAAAAATAATAAAGGATTTTCTCATGTCCCATTTGTTTACCTTGCATATATACTTAGGTGTGTGTGTGTAGATAGAAATAGATATAGGTATAGATATAGTATAGTTGTTTTCTGAGGTTTTCGCGGGTATTTGTATATAGGTCTTTGGTTGTTCGGGTTTTCTCCCGCGTAAAATTGGAAGTGTCTTGGCGACGTTTCGACGAAGTCACATTCGTCATCTTCAGGCTGGTGTTTTCAGCTTCTTGCTTTGAGCAGCAAGAAGCTGAAAACACCAGCCTGCTCAAAGCAAGAAGCTGAAAACACCAGCCTGAAGATGACGAATGTGACTTTGTCGAAACGTCGCCAAGACACTTCCAATTTTACGCGGGAGAAAACCCGAACAACCAAAGACAGATATAGTATAGGTATACACATACACATACACATATACATACTGTATACTTATACATAGCAGTGCATTGGCCTTAGAGGTGGAGCTCTCGCCTCACAATCAGAACGTTGTGAGTTTGATCATAGATAGTGGCAGATAATTCTATCTCTGGCCACATTGAGTAATTTCTGCTGCAAACTCCACGTAGGTGTCAAGAAGAGCATCCAGCCAGTAAACACTCAAGCTCTGTTCAGTCATCCTAACTTCACCCCAATGCAAGGGATTACAGAGTCGTTAAAAGAAAAAAAATACATGCGTGTATAGATATATAGATATATAGAGATACAGTATACAAACACACATACATACACATACACACATGCACACACTTATAACAGAATATAGATATACATGTATATATGTATTTAAGTATGTTTTAAAATAGATGTTCTAAAAATTCTCTTTGTAGCTCCTTTAAAAAGGAGAAAAACTGATACATTTACCTATGCTGTAGAATCTGCAAAATAGATCCTGCATTTATTCCAAAGCCTCTCTCTCCACTTCCCTCTCACACACTCACAATATATTCTCTCCTGGGTTAATTTATCTACCTACTTCCCACCTATCTGAAAAAATATTTCACAATTATATATATATATATATATATATATATATATATATATATATATACATATGCGCTTTGACCCTGGATCGGGTCATAGGTCCGCCCATCAGCATTGGCTGTGTAGTTCTTAAAGGGGCCGTTTCTAAAGTTGTCCTCTCCTCTCCAATTGCTGTTGTTTTGCTGATGGGCGGACTTATAACCCGATTGCAATTATGTTGGTGAAACCTCCAAGAGACTTAAGACCAGGGTCCACAAGCATGAGCTGGCAGTTAAGAGAAGAGAGCAATATTCACAGGTGTGGACCCACATGGCCGACTATGGCCATGGATTCGACCTCACCAACGTCGAGGCCATATCCCAAGATAACACCAAGGGAGGCCGCCACCTCAAAGAAGCCTGGCTGTCAGACAAACACTCCATCAATCGCCACATAGAGCTCCCTCCAGCATATCACATACTAAGGGGATGGGAAAGACGGGATGCCAATTGGAAACACAGGTGACCAATTCACTCCATACAAGATCAGAAAGAGGGGATGACAGGGGAGATGATCACAATCCTGAGAGAGAGCAATGAACTGGGGATATACCCCACAAGTAAAACAACATCTCTAACTCATTTAAACATGAAAGAGGAGAGGAGGGATGACATAATGCCAACAGACAACCCACCACCAGGAGCTGATGTTCAGATCCATGGAAGAACAAGGAGGATGAGAAAAAACACGAGGGAACTATATCCCACAAGTGTCCAAAGCACAAACAACAAATCCAGTTAGGATGAGGAAAGGAGAACAATGAACAGGTATCACTGGATGGCTTCGCCCAAGGGCCATACACACATACTGGGAAGAGGGAATGAGGGTAACAAGTAGTGGAGCCATTCCAAAGACACGCCCGGTTAGCAACCCATTAACACACACAGGAGCTCACCCGTTAGTGAGAGAGAGAAGGGGCGATAAGAAACAGGAACAATGAGACGACCAACCACAAGGAGTTTACACATGGGCAAGGAAAGCAACAGGGCTGGCAAATAGAGGAACAGAGCTTGAAGCACACAAGCTGTAGTATTAGTGTTGTAACCTCCTGAGTTCTGTGGTGTGATGTCTAGAACAGAAGGCTGTGAGTGACATACCGGGACATCACACCACAGAACTCAGGAGGTTACAATACTAAAACTCAGGATGTTACCACACAGCCAACCACCCAGGATGTTGCAACACAGAACTCAGGATATCACTACACTAGATCTCGGGATGTCATCACACAGCCCATTACCCAGGTCGTTAACAACACGAAAGACTAATGGGCACACAGCCAGCACCTCAGCTACTCAGGATGTTAAGAAACAGCCGAACAATCCACAAACAATAACTCCAACACAGCCAACCAACCCACCTACAGCAACTAAGCCAGCACTCCACACACCCCCACCAATATTTATAGAGAGACGGCAACTCTGATCACACTTTGCTCACACAAGCACGAAGCCGAAGACCCCAGCCTGAAGATGACGAGTGGGACCTCTCGAAACATCGCCAAGATACTCTCAATCTTACACAGGAAAAGACCAGAATATGCCAAGACCTGCATATATATATATATATATATATATATATATATATATATATATATATATATATATATATATATGTAATTAAGCATCTTTCCCAAATTATCGAATAAAGAGTTTTTAAGGTAGATATTATACTGTAGAACATTCATATACATTCTTCCATCTCTGTTGTAATAGAGAAGAAAGAGGATGTGGCTCTTTCGATGGAATAAAATAAGGCAAAATTCGAAGTCTCTGATGTTGTCTGTTTCCAACAACCATTGAAACATTATTGTTACATTAAAAATCTGATTATAATAGTTTCTTCTATGTACAGAAGGCAAATCCTGTGAGATTGGGGTGAATTATATGTTTTTTGAATAAACAGCCCCAGACTGTTTTTCCCAGAGGATTGTGAACAATATAGGGTGATTTGCCTTAGGAACTGCTTATGGCAAGATCCACACTTTTTCTGGGCCAGTTTTATTTACAAAAGCTTGTAAACACGTCCATGAATACAGTTCACTATCTCTCATTTAACTTGCTTCAGCCTCACCCAGCAAGACGTAATGTTATAATTGGGAGACCGAGTACATAAAATCTGGAGAAGAATGAATGTTTTGTCCTCTGCATTATAAAGATAGTCCTTGACTTACGACCACAATTGGGTCCAAAATTTCTGCTGCCAAGCAAGATAGTTGTTAAGGGAATTTTGCCCCCTTTTACGACCTTCCTTGTCACAATTGTTAAGTGAATCACTGCAGTTGTTAAGTTAGTAACATGGTTATTAAGTGAATCTGGCTTCCACATTGACTTCGCTTGTTAGACAGTCACAAAAGGTAATCACATGACCCCTAGACACTGCAACCATCATAGATGCATGTCAATTGCCAAGCATCTGACTATGGGGATGCTGCAATGGTCGTAAGTCTGAAAAATGGTCATAAGTCACTTTTTTCAGTGCTGCTATAACTTTGAATGCTCACTAAATGAATGGTAGTAAGTCAAGAACTGCCTTAATGGTTACATCTACCAAGCACAATACTGTAGCAGAGAAGAAATGGGAAAGCAGAGGGTCATTTTTAGTTGCTTTTGCCTCTGTGTGGAGCTCATGACACAAACTAAAATAGAATAGAATAGAATAGAATAGAATAGAATAGAATAGAATAGAATAGAATAGAGCTGGAAGGGACCTTGGAGGTCTTCTAGTCCAGCCCCCTGCTCAAGCAGGAGAACCTGTACCATTTCAGACAAGTGATATCCAGTCTCTTCTTAAAAACCTCCAGTGATGGAGCACCCATAATTTCTGAAAGCAAGCTGTTCCACTGGTTAATTGTCCACATTACTAGGAAGTTTCTCCTTAATTTCAGGTTGCTTCTCTCTCTGGTCAGTTTCCAAACATTGTTTCTTGTCCTGCCCTCTGGTGCTTTGGAGAATAGTTTGATGCCCTCTTCTTTTTAGCAGCCCTTCAAATACTGGAATACTGCTATCATGTCACCCCTATTTCTTCTTTTCTTTAGACTAACCAAACCCAATGTAGTGCTGCAGAAGAGGGTTGATTTTTAGAATATGCAGCCTGGAAAACTGCTGCATAAAATAAAAATGTTTATTGGTGCAGCAGTGCAAGTACACCAACTGAAACATTCTGAGGTTACAGAGTAAAAAATAGGATTAGGGAAAGGAAGTAAAAACAAGTCTGGATTTCCTCTCCTCAAATTATTTTCCCATTGCCTAAACTCAAAGATGAAGTAGAAACAAGTTGGAAAGCATTTATTACTATTTTAAACCTACTCAGTTACCAGAGCTATAATGCTGGGGTGTTCAGCATCTAATTATACAAAGAATTTCCAGTGTAGAGAAAAAGAAATGGCTATAAAATATTTTGAGAAAGCAGCAGAATATTGAGGGGAAAATTACACTAGAAAAGCAGGTTAGGAAGGGTATTGGATACTATAAAGGTGAATGAATGATTTAATTGATTTGTAATTTTCTATATGCATCCTGCATTATACTGCATATAGACTGCAAAAATTCAGACAACCAGTAGATAATAGTAAAGATAGTTTTCTTCATCTCTTGGCTGAATTTTGCATATCTTTAGCTGGACCACATCATGGAATTCTGTACAGATGGAAAAATCCTGATTTTTTTCCTATACTTATATCTTCCTTTATTAAGGATGATATACAGTACCTGCTTTTGGAAAGCAGTGGTAAGAGTAAATCATAAAATACTGAAAGAGATCAAACTGCAGGGCAATGAAATTGAAAATGTTGGTTCCCTTACAGTAAACATAATAAAACTGATTGATATACAGCTTTAAAATTTGGTTCATTATTTCCTTCTTGTACTTAAATCCTGCTTTTGTTTTAACTTGTCACCAAGGTGTGGTATTTTTTTAAAAAAAAAACAACAACACTATTTCCTAAAGGAAATGCATTTTTATTCAGAACAGTACTCAGATTTTCCTAAAGTATATTTGATACCAAATCCCTGTAGTTACAATGTGTGGTAAAGCAATACTTAAAAATCTCATGTCTTACCTTAATAATGGAAACCAAGCTGGCTAGTCATATTCTCTTAAACCCAACCCAGCTGTTGTGGGGAAAATAGGAGGAAAGCATGTTGGATATGTTTGCCGCCTTGAGTTATTTGAAAAGTAATAAAGGTGGGAAATAGATAGATAGATAGATAGATAGATAGATAGATAGATAGATAGATAGATAGATAGATAGATAGATGATAGATAGACAGATAGATAGATGGATGAGCAAGCAAGTAAGCAAGCTGTGGTGACGCAGTGGTTAGAATGTTATATTGCAGGCGAACTCACTGCTCACTGCCAGTAGTTCGATCCTGACCGGCTCAAGGTTGACTCAGCCTTCCATCCTTCCAAGGTCAGTAGAATGAGTATCCAGATAGCTGGGAGCAATATGCTGCTGACTCTGTAAGCCACTCAGAGAGCGCTATAAAGCATTGTGAAGTGGTATACAAGTCTAAGTGCTATTGCTAAAATAGTCAGTGTCACAAGCAGATTGATGTCTGAGACATGAAGTTCTCTTTGTCACCTTTTGGACTTCAGAAAGAAGTGATGTACAGGACAGAACATCCTTACATTCAATGCAGTTTCTCTGATACAGAATAATTTTTTCTTAGGTTTGATTTTCCAGGTTTAACCACATGAATGAAAGACATTTTTCTCTTCCAGGGGCCTGGATACAAACGGATTTCCCATCAAGTTCTCAAGTACCTGAAAAGGGCTTAACAAATAATGTGGAGTCCAAATCACAATCAAACATCATCTCATGCATTTCCTTGCCAGGAAGTGTTACTGATAATATAGAGGAGGTACAAGCTCATTCATCAAAAAATACAGTCATGGACGAGGAAATCAGACATGGTAAGAAAGGCCAATCATTACACATGCTGCTAGGACTACAATTTCTAGAATTGTGCTTGCAGGGAATGAATAATTTTAATTCATCTGACAAGGATAACTTTGAAGAAGACGTAGATCTCTATCTGAATTTCAGTGCTGCTATCCTGGCAAGGCACCAATGCTGAATGTTCAAGATAAGAAATATCCATTACACTAATGATTGCACATATACATACAGGTAGTCCCTGAAATTACATCTGTAATGGAGCCTGCCCCTCACAGTCGTAAGTCATAAGGTTGTAATTTACCACAATTTTTTTGTGGCAATCATTAAGCGAAGGCCATGGGCGTCAAAAAGTGAACATGGTGGTCATTAAGCAAACCCATTGTTTGCTGTGGTACAGTTTTGCCAAAAAAACAGAAGTGCCAGTTTTTGACAAAACCATAATAAAACAGTCATGTGTTTATGAGGGCTACATGCGTGGCTGGGTTGCTGAGCCCCCAAAGTGTGGTCCTATGACTTCAGGGAGAGAGGTGGCTGTCAGAACTTTGGATCTGGATTGTAAGTTCCTTTTTTTCAAGGAGTCCATAATTTTGAATGGTTGTTACATGACCAGTCATAAGTGAAAAACTATGTATATACAGTATACATAGATATTAAGGTGACCAACCGTCCTCCTTTAGGGAGGACAGTCCTCCTTTTGTTCTGTCCTCCCTGAAAAAGTGTCCTCCTACATGTCCTCCTTTTTAATATTTGAAGACTAATCTGCAGGGCTTTTTTTTCCCTCATAGAACGCTCAGAACGGCATTCTGGCACCTTTTTTTGATGGGGTTTTTTTCAACTTTGCATGAGCTGTGCTACTCCCACTATTGGCTTTCGAAAGCCAATAGGAATTGCTGCTGAGCGCACCAAAACACCCAGCTGGCAAACTTTGCACATGCAAGTTGTCTGTATTATTGTTGCAATGAATAAAATGTTTCTTTTATTTACGATATTTTTTTCTTCAATTTATTTGTGTCCTCCTTTTCATTGTAAAAAAGTTGGTCACCTTATTTAAGATATGCATCCATCATGGTGGGGGGTAAGAAACATTATGCAAGTGCATCAAAAGAGTAATATGCAGCACACATGGGGAAAGACAAAGGAAGAAATATAGTATATAAAGTCAGCCTGGTTTTCAGCTTCATTTATTTTTCAGGTAAAATTGGGCTAAGGATTTCCTTTGCAAAACATCTAAATGAAAATGAAGAAAACCAAAAGGAAGCACAGAAAGGGAATAGACCAGACCAGAACAGAACAGAACAGAACAGAACAGAACAGAACAGAATAGAATAGAATAGAATAGACCTTGGAGGTCTTCTAGTCCAGCCCCCCGCTCAAGCAGAAAGACCTATACCATTTCAGACAAGTGACTATCCAGTCTCTTCTTAAAAACCTCCAGTGATGGAGTGACCAGAATTTCTGAGGGCAAGCTGTTCCCCTGGTTAATTGTCCTCACTGTTAGGAAGTTTTTCCTTAATTCCAAGTTGCTTCTCTCTTAGATCAGTTTCCAACCATTGTTTCTTGTCCTGCCCTCTGGTGCTTTGGAGAATAACATGACCCCCTCTCCTTGGTGGCAGCCCCTCAAATACTGGAATACTGTTATCATGTCATCCCTATTTTTTCTTTTCTTTAGACTAGCCAAACTGAGTCCTGCAGCTGTTCTTCATAGTTTTAATCTCCAGGCCTTGATCATTTTAATTGCTCTTCTCTGAACTTTTTCCAAAGTCTCAACATATTTTTTGTGATATGGTGACCAAAATTGACTGCAGTATTCCAAGTGGTCTTACCAGGGTTTTATAAAGCGATATTAATACTTCACGTGATGTTGATTCTATGCCTCTGTTTATACAACCCAGGATTATATTATTATTTTTTAACTGCTGCTGCACACTGCTGGCTCGTATTCAAGTGATCATCCACTAGGATTCCAAGGTCCCTCTCATAGTTACTGTTTGTGAGCCAGTCCTTGACTAATCTGTACTTATACCTTTGATTTTTCCTGTCTAAATGTAAAACATTGCTTTTCTCCACATTAAAATTCATTATGTTGGATAAGGCCCATTGTTCAAGTTTGTCGATATCTTTTTGAATCCTGAGCTTGTCTTCTGGGTGTTCGCTATTCCTGCCAGTTTAATGTCATCTGCAGATTTGATGAATTCTCCTTCAATTCCCTCATCCTAGTCATTTATGAAGATATTGAAGAGTACTGGGCCTAAGATGGAATCTTGTGGTACTCCACTACTTACTTTTCTCCATTTGGATGTAGTACCATTGAGGACTAATCCATCTGGTGGTGATGTTGTCTATTCCATCTTTTTCTAGCTTACAAGCAGTAGGTTGTGGTCTATTTTGTCAAATGCCTTACTGAAATCTAAGTACTAAAGTACTTTTCGCAACATAAGCAGAAACTAATACCATTGTAGTTTGCCTCCCAGCAAAATTTGGGCCTTACCTTTGCCGTGTCTTATTTTCATAATAAATATAACTTCTCTTTCGCGGCTGTATTGAACTTACAAACCTTGGGAAACTTGGGGAGATGAGAATGTGCCCAAATTGTAGGGTAACTTGGTGTCTTCCAACTTTTCCAGGAGGCTAATGAGTTGTTGGACAAGACCAAAACCACACAAAGTACTTTGGAATAGCATCATCTCACTTCCTTTCTCAGCGAGGTGAATTATGCTGCTTCAGTGGCATGAAACAGCTTACTGAAACCATCTACTGCATTGTATCACTTGAGCGCATCTTATTTTAAACTCCTTTTACTATTTGTTAATGATAAATGTATGAGGGTATCAGTGTCCTCTTTTTGGCCTAACCTTCAAAGTGTGAATGGTTGTATTGACTTGTTTCTTTACATCACCTTTCAAATCTGTATTTAAAAAAAAATAAGGCTGGGATAAGCAAATGGAAGTCCAGAAATTACTGGACTACACTTACCAGCATTCTTAGCCAGGAATAGGAGATCTTGCAAAGTTGTAGTTCAGCAACACCCATAAATGGCCTGGAATAAGGTAACAAATTAGATCAACTATTTGGCTATCTGGAAATTCTGAAACTTAGATGGAGAGGACCAGATTGGAAAAGGCTGTCTTAAAGGCTCAAGTGATCTTTTCTTGGCTGTGCAATATTTTACATCTGATAGCAAAAAGGTGCTTCATAATGTGCTATTGTAAAAGCACAGTGTTAAATCCTCCGTTCGCTTGTGAATGATGAAGAGACATGGCTGTAATAATCAACGCTTTATTTCTCTTACTCCAACTCCAAGCACAGCACAAAAGGCACGCAGGCCTTTTATAGGCTTGAACCCCGAACAGCAAGAACCAATGAGCATGCTTCTTTCTGCACGCCTTGTGCATGCGCACAAGGCTGGCACCGCTCAGTCTGGTCCCGGGCAGCTTTTAGAATGCCCGGGACCATTTGCAACAATTCTGGGCCTGCTGAGTTTCCTCATCAGGCCCAGGATACAACACACAGCATCTCTCAATAATTCATTAAAGCAGCCATGCCTGCACCCAGGAACTAAATTTGCGAGGAAAATTATTCAGTCTCAGAAAAAATGCAGTGGCTTTAATGAGTTGCTGGCAGTGCTGCATTCGGACTCTAGGATTTTTCAAAGCAATGTTTCAGAATCAAATATGTAGCATTGCACAGCCCTGTTCTTTTTCTTCATATTTTTTTATATGTTACAGGTTATCCAAATTCTCCTGGACAGTTGTTTCCTGACATTCAGATGGATGGATACCAATCCAAAGAAGAGCTATTTTACATTCCCTATAGATTAGCTAAAGTATATGTTACCAAGGTAAACAATGAGGATCATTTCTGACATACATTGACTTTATGCAGCAAGGAATATGATAGCAAGATGGAAAACAGAAAAAAGACCATCACTTTTGCAGCCCCTCAAAACAGCACCAAAAGCATCAAGAAAATTATATAAAGAGACATGTCTCCTAAGAAAGAGGGACATTGTTTGTTGATAATGAACATTAATGTATCAACGTTTCATTTTCACATTCATTCTCACTTAAATATTACTAAACAGAAATCAGTTCTTTCCTCCTTTTCCTATTGCAATATTTGTCTTTTAAGAAAATATTTTTTCATGGTCATCTATTCAATGAATAATAAATATCAAATTGGGTTTTTATAAAACATTCTGCCCTGAGATAGAACTATGTTTACACCTGGTTCAAAAGACAGATATTTTTTTACTCAAGTGCTCAACACTCTTTTGCAGTGCCTGATTTGAAGAGCTGACTTGCCCTCTGGCTCACAGAAAAATCCTGCTGAATGAAGGACATTAAAAACATTTCACAAATCTACAAATATTCATCCAATGAAGAATAGAGTACTATGAATAGAAAATATGTGCCTTAAATGTCCGCTGAGCCATATGCATGTACGGTGTATGTACAATTTGTTCCTTTAAAAATTTTTATCACTTTACTTCTTAAACCTGTCTCAGATTTTAAAAATTACAGTTGCCAAGTCAGAACAGTATTACACATAGTCCTCAATTTACAACCACAGTTGGAATTTTTTTTCAACCTTTCTGCAACGATTGTTAAGAATCACTGCAGTTGTTAAATGAATCACAAGGTCATTTAAGCAAACCCAGTTTCCCTCATTGACTTTGCTTGTTGAAAGCTGTCTAGGAAGGTCACGAACAGTGATCAGATGATCTCAGGACACATTGTAAATATATACCTGTTGCCAAGTGCCTAAATTTTGATCATGTGATCTTGGGGATCCTGCAAGAGTCGTAAATGGGAGGACTAGTTGAAAGTCCATTTTTTCCAATGCCATGTAACTTTGAATGGACACTAAAAGGATGGTTGTAAGTCAGGGATTTTCCATATACCAGTTGTGAATTGATTGAGCCTACTAAAATGAAATGCAGTTAAGGTACATTTTGGTTTTGCTGTCTACTTGTGCTAGTTCAACCATGGCTGGCTGAGGAATTCTGGGAGTTGAAGTCCACAAGTCTTAAAAGCTGTCAAGTTTGGAAACCCCTGATCTATGTTGTGGCTCTTACAGTACAGTACAGTACAGTACAGTACAGTACAGTACAGCCAACTGCTGACCTGTGACACATATTTAAGGATCTGTATTCAATAATAACACAAATTTATTTTTTTTCTGTTTTCCTTTATGTGCAGATTGCAAAAGACATGCACCAGATGAAAGTCAGATATGTGAAAGTTATCAAAGAGCTGGAGCATGTTGGGAAAAAAAGCCAGGTGATTTTTTTTTTTTTTCCTGTTTTGACAGAAGCAATCCACATGTTCAATTGCTTTTCATTTCACCTTGAGAACAAACATGAGTCAACAGGACCCTTTCTACTTCAGTTACATCTGATAAAGGCTGTCAGATGGTTGGCATGGAATATGACTTATTTTGACTGCAATTGTCTACACAGTTATGTAGGATTAAGCCTTGTGCATTTATAAGACAGCATTGTTAGGAAGATTTTTTTTTTTCCCAAATGTGATGCATCTCTTGTTTACTGGATGTATTGGAACTCCCCAGATTTTTAACACATGTGGAAAGCACCAGATGAAAAAAGCCTACCCTAACCTATTGAAACTAATGAGAGTCTAATGTAACAAACTTTGTTTAGGATTAGGCTAGTTTGTAGAACAGCCACATTAAAGAAATGTTCAGGAGAGAACATTCTCCTGAAAACGTAGAGAGATTTATCTCTTCTGGTCTAATTCATTTACATCCGTGTTTTTCAAACTTGGCAACTTTAAGATGCTGCTTGGGAGTTGAAGTCCACAAATTTTAAAATTGCAGGCTTCAGAAACCTATGTTGTGAGTTGCGTTCTGTCTTTTGCCCCATTCTTAATATGATGGTGACTTTTGAAAAATAAACTCTAGTTTTCATATTAGAAGATAGCGCCCTCTAGTGGTTTTTCTGGATATCCGCGAGGTGAAAGCATTTACAGTAAAGATCCAATTAACTAGCAATAAAAAGATATGTCTCCTTGAATTGAGCCTGTGGTGACTTAAATCTGCAGATGCATCATGTAGTTTTCTTATCAATAGTGAAGAAATAATTTGCCACTTTTTGGGATATATTTCAACATCCTTAGAGCCTAACGTCCAAATACTAAACATTCTTGATTCTAGCAATTTTGGGGATTTATTTTTTTGTTTAGATTACCCAAGGTCTGAGAATAACCTTCTGAAAAGTGTGTTTGTGTGTGTGTGTGTGTGTGTGTGTGTGTGTGTGTGTGTCTGTGTGTGTCTGTGTGTGTGTGTGTGTGTGTGTGTTTGTGTGTGTGCGTTACATACAAACATATAGCTATATCTGTACCAATAGAATATGAATACCTATACGAATATCTATACTCAGTGCTTTTTTTTGTCATAGAACACACCGGAACAGAGTTCTGGCACCTTTTTTCAACGGATTTTCCAAGTTTTAAAAGTAACTTTTGAAAATTTGATGTTTGGTCCACGTGGACTTGAATTGCCCTGTCAAGCGTAGCAGGTCGGCGGCAAAATCATTAAAACGATGCATGAGGGCTGCTTGTGTGTCGAGTCTGATACATGCGTACTTCGCATTAGTTGTAATGGTGCTGCTCGGCTTGTGATTGGTCATGTAGTCGCACGCTGAGTGCTTACTGCGGGTGGTGACCATTATGTTTCGTTACCCAAATGATGTGTGTGGGTGTGTGTACAGTAATTGACTACGTGCGAAAGGTAAATTTATGTTAAGGACTGAATATGTATGTATGTATGTATGTATGTATGTATGTATGTATGTATGTATATAATAAAAGATAAACAAGATGTGAGTTCCGGCACCTTTTTTTCTTACAAAAAAAGCACTCCCTATACTTATACATACTTATACCTATACATATAATCTTGCCTCTCTGTCTATTAGTTTTATGGAATTAAAAAAAATAGAAAAAAAATTGGGAAAAGATGGAAGGGAAAGAAAGATAGAATGTGTGCTTTAAGAAGGGTTGGGAAAAAAATTGTCCCTTCAAATATCTGGAAATATTTCCATATATTCTTCTGTGTCTGAATTCCTAGCACAGGGGTGGATGATCTTTTAAAGGACTAGCACTGCAGTCACCAATCATGCACAGAGACAGACACACAAAAATGGATGGGTATGCATTAAAAGCCCCCTCCTGCAAAATGAACCCCCATTAATTATGTCCTCTTTTTGGAGGAGGAAAGGAAAGGCCATGAGGGACCTCAATGCTCCTTTGTTCTTCTTCCCATCAACCGCCAAAACATTCTCACTTTTGCTTGGAAGAAAGCAGCTACAATCAGGAATCTTCCTTTTCTTCCAGTAAAATAGTTGACTGTTATGTTAGTTTTGCTGTAACTGTGCTTATTACGTGTCTTCCCTAAGGGAAAAAAAGCTTCCTCATCAGTCGAGGTGATAGTGGTTAATTTAGATCTCACTTGAAGGCACAAAGCATGAGCAGTTTTACTGCAGGTTTTTGCAGATATCCATTACCATTTGAAGCTGGAAACTGTGATCTTCTCATTCAAGTTGAATTAGGCACTCTTGTATTTGACATACTTGCCCTGTGATCTGTTGTCTTAGAACATAATTATTTCACTAGCTGCTCTCTGCATCACACCCAATGCGTTTTTAATGCTGTTATTAAAACTGCATAATTAAGAATAACTAACTCTCCAAATGATTTAATTTCATTTGGAATATCAGAGGTCTGTGAACTGTCTAGTCATTTCAGATGAAAATATAATTCTTTGATAGTACGTATCAGCAGGACTTTGGGAAACTTAATACTGTAGAACTTGGTGCATGAGAAAATAAAACTCATAAAATTTTAAAAGTTCTATTTGCATCTGGATATTTGTATACAACAGCAGGCTTTATTTAACAGCAAAGGCAGACAACATTTGCCTTTCCTCTTTGTTCATGCTATTCCTTTATTTACAGTAGTGGCCAAAATTGTGGAAACGTTTTGGGAAAAGTGTACATTTGAGGTTTGATGGCTAATAACACCACTTTTTTGGGGGGAGTAGTACCATAAAATTATATATCAATGGAAAAATAATTTAATCAAGAATGTAATGCAACGAAGTTTGTTCAATTATCTGTACTGTATTCTATGAAAAGTTATAGCCAAATAACCAGAAAAAGGAAGCACAACTTGCTTAGGTTGATATCACATAGCTTTCCTTCATCTGATTGTAGCCAATGAGCAGGAGTGTTTAGAGAGCCAATCAGGTGTCATCTTGTTTTGGCAATGAGCCAATCAAATCACAGTAGGATTCAGTTATTGATGTCATGTATTGAAACACATTTGTCAGTGTGTTATGTGATCGCTATCAAGTTGGTTGGGGTTTTTTTTTCTTTCATTTAGTGAGCTTGTAAAACATAATAAAATTAAAGTAATGGTGCAAAGAGTTGATTGATTGCCCAGAAAGCGATGTAAAATAGTATTATTAAGTGAACAAGGCTACAGTTATAAAGAAATTAGAAGAAAAATTGGTGGAAACTTAACCAAAGGTGGCATTTCTACTGTACACTTTTCCTAAAAGGTTTCCACAATTTTGGCCTCTACTGTACTTACTTGCCATTTGTCTGAAATGGTATAGGGTCTCCTGCCAAGGTCTCTTCCAATTCTATCATTCTATGTTCCATGTTCTATGTGCCCATCCCTGATTATAATCTGGAAGAATTGTCTAACAAGAAATGTTAGCCTTGTTGGGCACAAATATATGTTAGTCCAGTTATTGCAGCATATTTTAATTCTGTCCTTACTTCCCTGGCCTTTGATTCTTTGCTTGGAAGATGCAAATAATCAGGATTACAAAACCCATTACCCCTCACAGCTATGAAATAAATGAAATAAAAGAAATCCCAGTTCTCTGGATGGATGGTTTCACCTGACTGCAAAGAAGACATTTTGTTACTCAAGAAAAAGGATGAGGCAATTCACTCTATGAATAGAAAACAACTGAAATAAGAATGTGTAATCCTGAAGAGTGGTTGAGATGAGAGGGTGATCCTATATTTAAAGTATTTGGGACTTATAGGTAGTACTGATTTGGACCAAAAATATTATTCGAGTATAATAACCCAATTTTGACCAGAGTTGAGTTTTATTTTTTCCCCAAAAAGAATTTTCTGATACTTTCCATTTTCTCACAAATAATTAAATAATAATAATTCCTACAACACAACTTTGTACAGATGCCTCTACTATTCTTTCTGCTGGCTGCCGTTCTCTTCCAAAATATAGGGGTCCCCAACCTCCAATCCATGGACCGGTATCGGTCTGCAGACTGTTGTGAATCTGGCCGCACAAGCAGTGGGTGAGCTTACAAAGCTTCATTTGTGCATGCGCGAAATTGAGTTGCGTGCACTAAACCATCCCCTCCCTCCCCACCATTACCCACCGCTGCCAGTCCGCAGAGCCAGAAAATTGGGGACCACTGGATTAACAGCAGGGAAAAATAGTGTGTGGGGGGGGGGAACATCCAGATTTTGTTTGAAGGCTCCTTCCTAGGGTTAATTCCTGAGGGGTATTATCTCTACTGATCCAAGCATTTGGAGGCTTCCAAGTAAAACATTTTGTAATTTTGTAATTTCAAAATCTTTGCAGGTAGAAACCCCAAACACTTCAGGAGGTTAGCAATCTCATGTTACTTGGGCCATTTTATTGATTTATTTAAATGGTTTGCCCATTCTTGCTCCTATGATAGTTGTCAAAATCTTCTAATAATATAATAATATAGGCAGCTACATAAAGGCCAAAGTTAGGAATCCCTGATTTTCTGGTTTGTCCCCAACTGAGTAAATTACTGTAGAAAGTCAGGTTGTTATCAAGTGTCTATTACAAAAAAAGAAGCATAATCCAAATGTTTAGGTTCAGAGAATTTTTTTCTCCAATAGCTGTCATTAAAGATTATTTTCTTCACTATAATCTGCTGATAGGAGCAAGCCATAATGTCAGTGAAAAACCAATACAGCGACAAAATAAAGCACCTGAGAGCTTCTTTGGAAGCCTATCAAGAAATGGTAGGAAAAGAAAAGCTATGCTGGCAAGACACAAGAAAGGTAAGAAGCAAAATGCAGTCATCTTGAATGAAAGGTAGACAACTACATAGATACCATATGCATGATTTATGAATTGCTTCTTGTCTTCTTCTGCATTCTTAATGATGGGCAGTGCTGTTATGTGCAACGTTGCTTTTTCTTTCTTCAAAGTCCCCTGTTAAGGAAATAAAATGTCTAGCTTTGCTCTGTGTATTTTCAAGTTTGGATAGAGTATCCACCCAAGAGCTGACCTCATTCCAAATCCACAGTCATAGATCCAGAAATATCAATCCCTTCCAGTGTAACCATCACTCAGTGTTACCTCAATAACTGCTAGGTGAGATGACTGAATCCATTTTCATAACATACAAAATGTAGCAGGAGTGAATCATCTTTCATGTTTGAATGCATGCTCCTTTCTTACCTTTTTTGTTATGGAACAAATACCATCATTGACGCTCAAAGATCAACCAGAAGCCAGCAGACCCTTCATTTCCTTTGTATCATTTATTACACATCCAGAAATTGGAAGAAGAAAATAGGAAGCTGAGAGAGGAAAAGGAGGACCTCATGAATCAGCTCCAAGTGCAAGATATGAATGCAGACAAAGAAAAGGAAGTACAGAATCAGGTTTGTTAAACATTCTTGGAAACAAGCCAGGTTTTTCTTTCAACTAAAATTATATTTTCTTCTTCCCTGTGTGCTCATGTACATTATTTTCATTATTTAAACTACATAATTATTTCTCATTTGCAGCACTTTTGTTTTCTGTATTTATGTTCATATTTATATTTTCGGATTTACAGTGCATTTAGAAAGTATTGAATCCTCCTTCACTTTTGTCAATTTTGTTATGCTGCAGCCTGGTTCAGTTACAGCCTTGAGACTTTTGGGATATGACACAATAAACTTTGCACACCTGGATTGGGGGATTTTCTGCCATTCTTCCTTGCAAATCCTCTCAAGTTCAGTCATGTTGCATGGCAACTGTCAGTGGACAGCCATTTTCAGATTCCTCTAGAGATGTCAATAGTGTTCAAGTCGAGAGCTTCCGGTGTGAGGCGACGGCGATGGCGGCTAGCTTTTAGCCGTCCAGCTGGGGAAGTGTCAGAGCCGCGGAGCGCAGCGTGCATCAGCTGGCCCGCGGCTCGAAAATCCCTTCCCGGGCAAAGGGAAGGGACAGAGAGTGCAGGGATAGAGGTAGAACCCCTGAACCCCCTCTGGATTTGTTTCTAGAGGGGGTGAAAGGAGTGTTCCCTCGGAGCTCCTGCTGATCTCCGCCTCCCAGCTGTTTTTGCTTCCTAGGAAGCAAAAGAAACCGCCGCTTCTATCTCCGTGTTATAGCATTCTGGTGAGTAATTTTTAAACGGACGGAGCAGTTTAAAGGATTTTTTGTTATAATTTAGGTGTTTATTTTTTCTATTTTTTGATTTCTACTATTATTCCTCCTTTTTTTGTTATATTAGTGAAAGGATTTAAGATGGCGCTTTGAAAGTGTCGGAGTTTTTTTTTCCTTTCTCTTTTGTTTTACTTTCCCTTTTTAAGGACTGGTTTTTGCTTTTACTTTTGCTTTTGGCTTAGAAATTTTTTCTTTTGAATTGTTTGCTCTTTTATTTTTTATTCTTTGGATTTACTCTGGACTTTCAAGGACTATAGCTTGTCTCTTTTTAAAAAAAATTTTTTTTTCCCTCCTCCCTTCCTGGCTGGAGGGGAAAGGGAAGTGACAATTGTGCTTTTTAAAATGGCTTAAAAGAGGCAGCAGCCTTCCTCAATACCCAAGGTTATTTCTTCTCCTATAACTTCCACTGCACAGCTACAACAACAATCTAAACATGTACCACCGGCTCAGCCACCACCCTCCCCTCCTCTATCTGGACTTTCAGCACAAGAGGTTAGAGGCATAATGGGAGAGATTGTAGTTCAAATGAGAGAGGAAATGAATCAATTTGTCTCACAGATTAAATCAGAAATTAAATCTGATCTCAAAGAAGAGATAACGGGGATAAAGACTAAATTGCAAGAAAACAATAATGAATTACGACAAGATATACTGGCAGCTGTTTCAGGTTTGGCTACTGTGGTGGTTAAGCTCGATGCAAGGCTTGAGGAAGTGGAAGACAAAGTTGACTCTTTGGATGACAAAATTCAAGATGTGGAAAGGAAGGTGGACTCCTCACAAGAAGATATTTTGATGTTTCAGTACAGACAAATGGAGTATGCCCTGAGGATCAGAGGCCTCAAGGAAGATGTGAATCAAGATCTGGTGGAGGTGGTCCTTACTGATCTGGCGCTGGCCTTGGATATGGATAAAGGAGAATTACAGAGAGAAGTGGAAAAAATTTATAGGCTCAACTCCTGGATTGCTAAGCAGAAGAACTTGCCTAGAGATGTGGTGATTTATTTTACAAAGAAGTCCCTGCGGAATGAGATTATACAAGCTTTTTACAATAAAAGATTTCAGATTGCTGCCCAAGATGTCATCATTCTAAAGGAAATCCCATCCAAAATTTTAAGAAGCAGGAAAGACTTTGCTTTTTTAACCAATGAGCTTAAAGCTAGATCGATGCCATTTAGATGGGAAATTCCGATGGGTATTGTTTTGAGCCATGCTGGGACACGCTACAGATTGAACACAGTTGACAAAGCTAGAGATTTTTATACTTCGGTCCTGGGTGCAGGCTCAACCTCATCTGGTCGGAAATCTCTGAGTGGTAAGGAAGTTGAGCAGCAATCTGAGGCATTAGATTTGGTTTCCGCTGGGATGATAGAAGCTGTAAAGCAACGCCAGACGGAGGTTAAAGAGCAGAGGATGACCCGTGCAGCCTATAAGCGTAAAGAGAAGGAGCAACGTAAAAAAGAGCCTAAAGAGAGTTCTCCTGGAAGTGCATCACCGCCGGTGGGAGGAGCAAGACCCAAGAGTTATGCAACACACGCAGCTCTTTCAGAGTTTGATGGTGTCTTCTCCAGGCTGCGTGCCAAGGGAGATGGCAAAGTTTTTGACCTGGAATGTTAATGGATTGAATTCTCCTCAGAAACGCAAAAAAATCTTTTATTATTTGAAGCAACATACTAATGATGTTATTTGCTTACAGGAAACTCATATTTTACTTAAAGATCAGAAATATTTAGTTAATGCTCGTTTGGGATCTCATTTTATATCTTCTGCTCCTGGGAAGAAAGGGGGAGTTGTTATATATGTTAAACAAAACCTACCAGCTTGTCTGGTAGAATCAGATCCCCAGGGGAGATATGTGATGATTGAACTTGGTATTTATGGTAAGAAAATACTTATAGTTGGACTTTACGCTCCAAATCAACAACAGGAACAATTTTATAAGCAGTTACATCAAAAAATAACATTGCTTGATTATAGATCAGTGGTATTAATGGGTGATTGGAATGGTGTCTTAGATATACAAAGGGACAAGAAAGGTTCCTCTCCTTTTCTTAAACAAGCAAGGCTACCTAAAGCCTTTTTTGATATGAAAGAAGACTGGGAATTAAGGGATTATTGGCGGGAACGTAACCAAGAGGAGAGAGACTTTACTTTTTTTTCTGATAGACACCAATCTTTTTCAAGAATTGACTTTTTCTTGATTACCACGGACTTGTATAATAAAGTAAAGAATGTAAAGATTTTTCCTAGATCACTGACGGATCATAGTCCAGTTTGGATGGAGCTGATTCAAGAGAAAGAGGAAAGAAGATCCTGGAGAGTTAATGAAAATTTGTTTAGACAAGAGAAGAATGTTCAAAAATTAAAGGAGTGTTTAAAGGACTATTTTGCTTTGAATATGTATAAGGGGACTTCAATGTCAATGGTATGGGATGCAGGTAAAGCATTTATGCGCGGTGTTTTGATAAAAATGAATAATTTTTATAAGCGAAATCAGATTCAGAAACGTAGAGAACTTGAAGATGAAATTAAACTAAAAGAAAGGGCTTTGATTCTAAATCCTTCTGATGAAAGTACTAAAGAATCTGTAAAGTTATTAAGGTCACAATTTAATATGTTGATAGCAGATCAAGCTGCAACCAACTTATTATTTATGAAACAAAATACATTTTGTAATGCTAATAAGCCGGGAAGATGGTTGGCTTATCAATTAAGAAAGAAACAGAGACAGAGAATAATAGAGAAAATAAATTACAAGGGTAAACTAGTTTCTCAGAAGGAATTAATTAAAAAAATCTTTTTTGGATTATTATCAAAACTTATATAAATCTACTAATGTACAATTGTTAGATATAAATAAATATTTAGCTGAGGCAAGTTTCCTAAACTGACTGAGGATCAGAAATATGAAATTAATGGCTTAATTACTAAGGAGGAAATTGCCTCAGCAATTCAACAATTGAAATTAGGGAAAGCACCGGGTACGGATGGGTTAACAGCTGTTTATTATAAAGCTTTAATGGAGGAGATGATCCAACCATTAAATGATCTTTTTAATGGTATCTTACAGGGTTTAGAGATTCCTCCTTCATGGCGTAGTGCCTTTATATCATTGATTCCAAAGGAGGATCAAGATCTTACTTTACCAAAAAATTATAGGCCTATATCTCTTTTAAACGTGGATTATAAGATATTTGTAAAAATTTTGGTAAATAGGCTTATGAGGGTGGTGCATCATCTTGTGCATAAAGATCAATCAGGGTTTATAACAGGAAGGTATATGAAAAACAATGTTAGACAAATTATTAATCTATTAGAATACTTAGATAAGAACAACCAAGTTCCTGCAGGGCTCATATTTTTAGATGCTGAAAAAGCATTTGACCAATTGAATTGGCATTTTATGCTAAGAGTAATGGAAGAAATGAATTTTGGTGAAAACATATTACAAGCCCTTAAGGTAATATATCAAAAACAAACAGCACAACTTATTGTTAATGGAGGTCTTTCGGAGGTTTTCACAATAGAGAAAGGTACTAGACAGGGGTGTCCTTTATCGCCATTGTTGTTTGTTTTAACATTGGAAATATTATTGATCAAAATTCGAGAGTCTCAGGAAATTAAAGGAATATATGTTAATAAAAAAGAATATAAGTTAAGAGCTTTTGCGGATGACTTGGTTGTTACTTTGTCGCAACCTGATTATTCTGTAGTAAACTTATTACAGTTGATTCATCATTATGGTTTGGTCTCGGGTTTTAAGATTAATGTAAATAAGACCAAAATTTTACCTAAAAATATGTCTAGTCAGGAGAAGCAGATTTTGACTAACTTGACGGGTTTTGAGATTGTTAATAAGGTAAAATATTTGGGGGTGATGTTGTCTGTTTCTAATGTAAAATTATTTAAAAATAATTATGAAAGGTTGTGGGTCAGGGTACAGAAGGACTTGAAGAACTGGGAAAAGTTGCAATTATCCCTCATGGGAAGAATTGCAGTGATAAAAATGAATATTTTACCCAAGTTTCTTTTTCTGTTTCAAATGTTACCAATTTTGAAAAATGAGATTAATTTAAATGAGTGGCAGAAGGGTCTTAATAAATTTATCTGGGCAGGGAAAAAGCCAAGGGTTAAGTTTAAAATTATGCAAGACTTCCGTGAGAGGGGTGGACTTAAGGTACCAAATTTGAAATTATATTATGATGCGGTGGTTTTAACACTAATCAGTGATTGGGTAAATTTGACAAATTCTGAGATACTTTATTTAGAGGGATGGGATTTACTTTATGGGTGGCATGCCTATTTAATATTCAATAAAAAAATGGATTGGGCTTTTAAATCTCATATCTTAAGAATTTCTTTACTTAGGATTTGGAGAAAATATTATAAAAGTGATTTCAAAGTACCATTATGGGCTATACCTTGGCATGCGATAGAAGCAATAAAAAGAGGGGTTAAAATGGATATGGTGTCTTATAGACAGTTACTTAAATGGGATGGACAAAACTGGCAATTAAAATCACGGGAAGAGTTAGCACAAGAAAACTTTATTTATTCTTGGTTCCAATATAGGCAATTATTAGACAGATGGAAGATGGATTGTAAGGTGGTTTTCTTAGAGAAGATGAAAATCTTATCAAGCAAGTGAAGGATTCAAGACAAACCCACATTAAGAGAATTTATGCGGTTTTAGTTGAATTGGATTCAGAAACGGAACTAATTAAAGATTGTATGATAAGATGGGCGCAGAATTTTGGTGAACCAGTCTCATTGGACACCTGGGAAAATATTTGGGTGAGAAATGTCAAATTTACACAAGCACAGAACTTAAGGGAGAATTTTTATAAAATGTTTTATAGATGGCACCTTGATCCACAAAAAATGTCTTATATGTACCCTGACGTGCAACCCAAATGTTGGAGATGTGGTTATAAGGAGGCTTCCTATTATCATATTTGGTGGTCATGCAGAGAGATAAAAGCATTTTGGATCAAAATATGGTGGAATATCCAGAGAATTTTTAGAAGGAGGGTAAAATTTACTCCGCAATTATTTTTGTTAGGTATTGTTACAGATTGTGATACAAAGGAGGTTGTTTTGATGTTAAATTTGATTACAGCCGCTAGGCTGTTAGTAGGACAATATTGGAAGAAGGAATCTTTGCCTACATTGCAGGAATGGTTTCTTAAAGTAGCTTATCTGGCGGAAATGGCAAAGATTTCGGCTTTCTTAAAGCAACAAACGCAAGAGAAGTTTCTTGCTGTTTGGGATAAATGGATAAAATTTATACAATTTAGATTGGGTATACAAAAATATTATATAGTTTTTTCATAAGTTTTATTTTCATATATATTATAGATAATCTTTTTATATATATAAATATAAAGTTCTTAATTTAATTTTTATTTTTACTTTTTAAGCCTATATGCTCTGGGAAGCTCAGGGGGGGGGGAAGGGAGGGGGGGGGGTTTTGGGAGGGGTGGGGTTTTTTTTTTATATATATATATGTATTGTTTAGTTTTATTTTTTTGTATATGTTGTCTCTTGTTTTGTATTCTTTTTTCTTTTTTGTAAAATTTATAAAACTTTTAATAAAAAAAAAAAAAATAGTGTTCAAGTCAGGGCTCTGGCTGGGCCAGTTTAGGATATTCAAAGAGTTGTCCTTAAGCCACTCCTGTGTTGTCAACATGATCATTGTCATGTTGGAAAGTGAACCTTCGACCCAGTCTTACGTCCTGAGCACTGTGGTAAAGCTTTTTATTGAGGATATCCTCGTACTTGCTCTATTCAGCTTTCCTTCAACCTTGACCAGTCTCCTAGACCCTGATGCTGAAAAACACTCCCACAGTTGCCACCACCATGCTTTACTGATGCGATGATCCCGGGCAGGTGCTTGGCTTTCTTGGTTTCATCAGATCAGAGAATCTTATTCCTCACAGTCTGAGAGTCTTTCAGGTTTTTTTTTGTTTTGTTTTGTTTTTCAAACTCCAAATGGGCTGTCATGTGTTTTGCACTGAGGAGAGGCTTCCGTCTTGTCGCCCTGCCATAAAACCGAAATCAGTGGAGGGCTGCAGTGATGGTCATTCTTCTGGAACTCTGCCCCCTCTCCACACAGGATCTCTAGAGCTCAGTCAGAGTGACCATCGGGTTCTTTATATATTCAAAATGGGCAGTATTTAATATTTATTTGCTATGTATATGTAGGGGTGTGGGTCTATACATATGTTGTACATAGTATGTTTAAGTGTGTGTCATGTAAGTGTTTCACTTTGAGAGCGGGCAACTAAATTTCATTTTTGATGTGTGCCGTTGTGCCCACAGTAAAAAAATAACAATAAAGGTTATCTTATCTTGTCTTATCTCATCTCATCTTATCTTCTTTGTCACCTGTCTTATTAAAGCCCTTCTCCCCCAATTACTCAGTTTGACAGGACAACCAGCCTTTGGAAGAATCCTGATTATGCCAAACCTCTTCCATTTCAGAATTATGGAGGCCACTGTGCTCCTTGGAATGTTCAGTGCAGCAGAAATTTTATTGTAGCCTTCCCCAGATCTGTGCTTTGCAAAAGTCCTGTCTCTGAGCTCTGCAGGCAGTTCCTTTGACCTCATGGCTTTTCCTCTGCTACAGCATACATAGTCAGATGTGTCAGGCCTTCTCTAGAGATGTGTGTGCCTTTCCAAATCATGTCCAATCAATTTAATTTACCACAGTTCAACTCCAGTTAAGATGTAAAAACATGTTGGCAACTATCAAGAGAAATGGGAGGCACCTGAGCTAAATTTCAAGTGTTGTTGCAAAGGGTCTGAATACTTATGCCAATGTGATATTTCAGTTTTTTTCTTTTTAATAAATTTACAGACATTTCTAAAATTCAGTTTTTACTTTGTCATTATGTAGATTAATGAGGAAAAAATTAATTTCAACAACTGTAGAATCAAGCTGCAGCATAACAAAATTGACAAAAGTCAAGGGGGTCTGAATACTTTCTGAATGTACTGTATATTACACTTATTATATCCTAGAGGACCAGAATGCATTTAAGCAGTCAAGCTACTGTATGTATGATCTGCCACTTCTATTACTGGTTTATGAAATAATGGAAGAAAATTATTTCTGATTTCACTGTTGTTTTTTTCAGTCTTGGCTCTTAAAAAGTATTATGCAGAAGCTACATTGTCTGTATACCGAGCATAATTTAAGTAAGTGTTTTGCCTCAAAAAACCTTTGTTTTTTCATGTATTATAGACATTGCAGCTATTATGCCTTTCTTTATTCCTCTTTTATTTAGTATTTGTATTTTAATTATTTGGTATTCGTACTTTGCTGTTTTTTATTTATTTTATTTATATATGTTTTGATATCTCAGGAATTATACATGTAATTCTAATTAAACCTCTGTCTTCAAGTTTTCATCATAATTACCTTCTTTCTATAATCTATTCTTCCTAATCATTAAAACCATATGTGATGAAATCATTTTCTTTTTTACAGAAAAATATCCATTGATGAATGCCAATAGTGATATTTCTCTATAATGATCCGTTTTTAATACATTTTCTCTTGCTGTTCAGCTATCAAGGAACTTCAGAGAAGTAGACTGGACCTTGAAAAAGTGCAGAAAATGGTAAATAGCCAGATAAAATTACATTGTGGTCAGCAAAAAGAATCAATATTAGATGAAACAAATATTGCACTTCAGATGAAGAATAGTAGTTAGGTTAAGTTGCTTATAAAGAATGAAGAATAATTCAACTGGAAGAAAAAAACACTATAATATTTTCTAGTTCTTTCTGCCTTAATTGGAATAGTCTTAAACTTTTTGAGTTGGACTGTCTGGAACACCATTTCATTTTGAAAATGTTATCGGGTTTGGTTTTAACTTTATATTTTTAAGTGTTTTAATTAGTCTTTGAAAAAATTAACCTGAAAATTTTGTCAGATTCATTTTCCTGTTTTGCTCAGCTAACATATAATTTTCATAACTAAGGTGACTTAGAGATAAGCACCAGTAATAGTTTGATGAGCAATTTGTTGGTTTCAAAATCACATAGTCTGTGGCCAACAGCAGTTATTATAGAAATGAAAACACTTTTAGTAATAAATGAATTAAAATGTTTTAGATAAAGTTTAGTTTCTTTCAGGTAACTGAAAATAGAGAAAGAGAGAAGAATGCAAGAGAAACTAAATCTGACACTATAGCACAGAATGGACAAGATTGCTTTGTGGTAAGCCTCATCTTCATTTTTCAGTAGAGGCCAACATCTGAATTTTTTTCCCAATTTGTAACACATCAGTGATGCTTTGCAGCTGGTATCATATGAAATTTGGTTTCAGGAAAACATCAACATTCCACAATTGCTGTCAGTTTTGGTGCTAGGCTGACATTTTAGAAAAGCAGACAAATTCAAATTTAAGATAGCAAGACCTTAACTTCTTTTGGAGCATCACTAGGCATTACTAGCGTAACTTTGAAACCTTGCTCTTTTGTAACATTTTCAATCAAATACTTTAAACATGCATTATTGTTCTTTAAATAGAAGTACACTTTAACCCTTCTTGCTAATCTGGGCACAGTTTTCTTACCATTCCTTGAGGCAATATATCAAAATTTCTTTGTATCACTCAGGTAGATATAGAAGAACCACAAGATTATTTATCAGAAGAGAAATTTCTGTTGGCAATTAAAGCCAATCTGGAACAGGTCAAATCATCCTTACAGAAACGAGAGACAGAGCTGAAGGACCTTCTACAAAGTAAACACTGGTGTAGCCCTCAACTTCTAGAAACATGAATGACACCGTGAGTGGAGAAAGGTCAGTATGGATGGGCATTTGAGGGGAGGCTGGGCCTAGAGGTGGAAATGCAAAACAGGCATGTCATCATACAAATGCCTTGATGAAAGTAAATGAAAGTAAATCTGTTTTTGTTTTGAATTGTATTTTGTGGCAAACATCAGATTATTTGTTTCTAACTATATGATTTGATCATTTCTATTCTTTTGTTTTTACATGGTTGCAATCAGCTCTAAATTTCCTTTAAATATGCACAGATACATGCCCCTCCCTCATGAGATAGGCAATTATATAAACTTGAATAAATAAATAAATAATAAAAGTTGGATTCAACCTATTATCACAAGAACATTAAAAGTAAATTTAAAAGGAGGAGTTGTATGACTGTTGCTTGTAAAAATTCTGCAACATGCATTTTGAATTATAAAATATTTTATACTGTGTTGAAGTTTTGTTTGTTGGGACAAACAATAATTTATATGAATTTATTTATATATTTGCTTGCTTGCTTGTTTTAAATAAAATTTATAGTCCTTCCAACTCATAGCAACTTTAGACAGCATGTAATCAGTTGAATGGTTGTCTTGCCTTGACATGAACAACTATAATAAACTTTAGAATGCCCAATGATCAATTAAATAACAAGAGAAATTAATGAATATATACATACATACATACATACATACATACATACATATATCCTTAATAACATTAAAAATGCGATTCCTAGGAAAACATATCAACACATATCATTTCTATATTTTATTGAGATAGACAGATAGATAGATAGATAGATAGATAGATAGATAGATAGATAGATAGATAGATAGATAGATATAGATATAGATATAGATATAGATATAGATATAGATATAGATATAGTACAAATAAAATACGAACACCAGGAGAGTATAAATATAAAAATATACTTTACTAAAAGCTGCCAAGCTTTTGTTTGGAAACTCCAAACATCATCAGGGCTAAGGAGCCAGTAAACAATGATGACTTAAATGGGTTTTGCCGGCATCTGCAGCCGGCTCATGGACTGCGTCACCAGTCCCGGCCGGTTAATTAGTGTTCCAGATGTTTCTTTATTACTCTCCTTACCCTTCCTTCTATGGTTCTTCCGGATCGTTCCTTCCACTATCTCATTACTGGCATTCATCTCCTCCACCACCCCTTTATCCTTATTTCCTTCCATAGTACTGACCCTCCTCCCCTTTTTGTTTTCATTTTCCACCCTGGGGGCATCTGTTTCTCCTCTATCAGTGTTACAAGCTTCCCTGAGCTCACAGACGCTCCCCCCCACACACGCTTTTCTCAATCCCTGCTCCACACCCTTTCTTCTCACTCCTCCACTGTCATAAGTAACTTTCATACGGGTATTGCATATTTCGGGGTTTATGCCCTCCTCCTCCGTCCTGGCAATCTTCGTGTCGACAGTTCTCCACCGTTCCATTTGTTTGCTGCATGATCGGGTGCTTACTCCATCTCTCATTTCATCATCCCCCCTCCTCCCTATCGCATGTTCTTCCCCATTGCTGATAGGAACGGTATTCAGGCGGACACCAGGTCTCCAGATCTCTGCGTTCTGATTCCCCGCGTTCTCACTCTCCTCTCCTGTGCTCGTCTTTGGGGGGACTTCAAAGTGTTCATCCCGGGGGGGCTGTATTGTTGGTGGGGGTATTCCTTGTCTGCAGAGGGTCCAGGCAGAACGCCATGTCTCTCCCTTTCACCGTATGCCTAGGCAATCGAGCCGTGCTTTCGTTCTTCTTCTCCCCCCTACCCACAGCGTCAGGCTGCAGACTCCTCATGCTGGATCTTCCACACTCTCCACAGTTGTTGTTAAATTCCGGGGGTGGGGGTCTATCGTGGTGATATTGGGGAAGGGGGAGGTCTTCCATCGGTGGATGATTACGTGTGTTTGACAGTGGTGGCCTCCTCAGAGGTTCATTAGAGCGGTATTGGTGTTGATTGGGCAAAACGGGGTTGCCCCTGGAGTGTCAAGGGTTAGCCAAAGTTCCATCTATCTGTTCAGGATGGAGGCCAGGTGTCTCGTCACATTTACAGCCGTACAAGCATTGTTCAGACCGTTTATAATGATTGGCATGGTGTTTAAAATCCCATTTCCTCAATGCTTGTTGCACTGGATGTAAGTCAATGTGATGATTCACCACATCTTTGTTGGAATACCACGCCTCTTTCAATAGCCGGCCTCCCTTAGTGGCATCCTCAGACATAACGCGAACATTCACAAAGTCAAACTGGTGGCCATGTTGTGCCATATGCATCCACAATTGAGAATGCTGCTCGCCCCTTCTTATAGCTAACTGATGTTCATGCAGGCGAGATCTTAAATGCTTAGCTGTTTCACCCACATAATTGCCATCGCAGTTCTTGCAATTGATTTTATAGATTACTGCTGATCTATCCATGGCAGGGAGTGGGTCCTTGGGGCAAACGACTTTGGACCGTAATGTCTGATTGGGTCTGTGGGCCACTTCTATTCCATGGGGGGCCAGCAGTCTGGCTGTTGCTTCCGAGACGTTATTAATATATGGCAAAGAGACACGCATTCTTTGTAATAATGGTTCCTCTCTCTTTTGGTTGTTCCGGGACTGGGGTGTAAGACCGTACTGTCTGATAAACCTCAAAGGATACCCATTACGTTGACAAATACGGAAAAGATATTGCCTTTTTTTCTTCTTAAACTCCTCAGTGCTGCAGTGGGAGTCCATGCGCTTAAACAATGCTTTAATGCAGCTAGCTTTATGAGATACGGGGTGGTTGCTCCTATAGTGGAGTATTCTGTCCGTGTGGGTGGGTTTACGAAACACCCCTGTAACGTCCCATCCAACTGGCGGTATATTGACACGTCCAGGAAGGCTAGGTGACCTTGTTTTTCTTCCTCCACTGTAAACTGGATGTCGGAGCAGATCGAGTTTAGTACTCTCATAAAGGTAGCTACATGTTGTTTTTTAACAACCGCAAACATGTCATCCACGTACCGAACCCAAAATTTGGGTTGGTATAAGGCCATAGCCCTGTGTTCTAGCTGTTGGAGTACTATTTCCGCTATAGTGCTAGAAATGGGGGAGCCCATAGGTGTCCCTTTAACTTGTTCGAAGATGGTACCCTGGAAGGTGAAATAGGTGGTGAGACATAATTGCGGGAGGTCATCTGTCTGAAGGGAGTCCTGGTGGTGGCTCCCTTCTGTATTCCTCAAGCGCTCTCCCAGGGCTGAAATAGCTAAGTCCTGGGGGATGGAGGTGAAGAGGAAGGTAACGTCGAACGATACCATCCTCTCATCATCCTCCACCCTAAGGGTCTTAATTCTGTTGAGGAATTCTTCTGCAGAATTGACTGTTGTGGGGCTACCTTCCACAAGGTGGAGTGCTGAGCCACTTCGCTAATCCGGATGTAGGGGTACCTATAAATGATACGATAGGGCGAAGTGGGGTGCCTTCCTTGTGGATTTTTGGGAGCCCGTAAAATCTAGCGAGCGCCGTGTCACGGGGGCGTATCTTCTTTAGGGTATCATCTCCGATTTTCTTACTGAATCAGAATGCAGAGATCTGGAGACCTGGTGTCCATCTGAATACTGTTCCTATCAGCAATGGGGAAGAACATGCAATAGGGAGGAGGGGGATGATGAATTGAGAGACGGAGTAAGCACCCGATTACGCAGCAAACAAATGGAACGGTGGAGAACTGTCAACACGAAGATTGCCAGGACGGAGGAGGAGGGCATAGACCCCCAAATATGCAACACCTGTATGAAAGTTACTTATGACAGTGGAGGAGTGAGAAGAAAGGGTGTGGAGCAGAGATTGAGAAAAGCGTGTGTGGGGGGGAGCGTCTGTGAGCTCAGGGAAGCTTGTAACACTGATAGAGGAGAAACAGATGCCCCCAGGGTGGAAAATGAAAACAAAAAGGGGAGGAGGATCAGTACTATGGAAGGAAATAAGGATAAAGGGGTGGTGGAGGAGATGAATGCCAGTAATGAGATAGTGGAAGGAACGATCCGGAAGAACCATAGAAGGAAGCGTAAGGAGAGTAATAAAGAAACATCTGGAACACTAATTAACTGGCCGGGACCGGTGACGCGGTCCATGAGCCGGCTGCAGATGCCGGCAAAACCCATTTAAGTCATCATTGTTTACTGGCTCCTTAGCCCTGATGATGTTTGGAGTTTCCAAACGAAAGCTTGGCAGCTTTTAGTAAAGTATATTTTTATATTTATACTCTCTTGGTGTTCGTATTTTATTTGTACCATAGACATGCCCAGGAGTCGTATTTTTATGCAAATTTTCCAGATATAGATATAGATATAGATATAGATATAGATATAGATATATAGATATAGATAGATATATATCCTTCAATTATTTAAAACAGTTCATAGCAAAATAATAATATCCATAATGCTATTCCCTTTCATAAAGAGACTCAATCAAAGTGCTATGGTGATTGTTGCTCTTAAATAATTGCTCTTAAATTAGCCTTGTAAAATTTCTTATTATAGTAAAGATCTAGAAAGCTGAGCTTTGTTAGCATGTCCATGTTCCTGCTGGAGATACTACCTTTGCATCATTGCTACGTAACCACATTATCTTGTCCAAGTGATGTGTAATCCAAAATTTCTTGACGTGACAGAGTAGTGACTTTGTCTAAGAATTCTATTTAACATCTAATTAGTCCAATGATTCCATAGAAGTTTCAGCTTCAACAATTACTCTAAGAATGGCTAAATATTGATACTGAGGACAAAAATAACCCTATCCTTATTTCTGGGGTGTGTTTTTTTTCTTTGCTGAAATCTCACTGTAGATGGCCTTCTAAATATGTACTATTTTAGGTTTCATGCCCATGTCTAGTTGCAAGGATGTCATTTTTCTGTTTTCCTGGATGTATCAGGAATGTACTTGGATGTGGGTGTGTTAGGAGGTGTTGCATTTTTCTTTGTATGTTGGATAGAAGCAGGCAGAAATGGAAGGCAGGAACTGAGCAAAGCAAAATAT